GCCAGCCGCCAGCGCCCGCGCGTCGCGGAGCAAGGTGAGCGCGCCGGGGAGGGGTGGGCCGCCGCGCGGTAGGCAGGTGCGGGCGAAGTTGGTCGCGGGGGCGCAAGCCCCGGGAGGAACCGGGCGGCCCCGGCTTTGCGCGTCTTCTCTGCGGGTTCGGCGCGTGGTGACCTTGGCAAGTGACTTAATCTTCTCGAGCCTCAGTTTCCTCTAGTGTAAAACACGACTTAACAACAGTAGCGACCTCTTGGGGTTGTTGAGCGAGTTTAGTGAGATTTGGCTACTGGGGCTTTATTAACACAGAACCTGGCACGGAGTGAATGCGTAAAAGTTAGTCCGCTTTTATATTAAAGGTGGCCGTTAGGCACACCACTCGGTCCTGGATCCCAGGGACTGGGCACAGGGCCAGAACAGCTGCTAACCTTGTGTTCCTTTCTCCCTGGCACCAGAGAAGTGGAGAAGAGCGAGTGCTTGAGAAGGAAGAGGAGGAAGATGATGATGAAGACGAAGATGATGAAGATGATGTGTCTGAAGGTTCCGAGGTGCCTGAGAGTGACTGTCCTGCAGGTGCTCAGCACCACCAGCTTAATGGCGAGCGGGCCTCTCAGAGTGCCAAGGAGAGGGTTAAAGAGTGGACACCGTGCGGACCCCACCAGGGCCAGGATGAAGGGCGGGGGCCAGCCCCCGGCAGTGGCACCCGCCAGGTGTTCTCCATGGCAGCCATGAATAAGGAAGGGGGATCAGGTAAGGATCCCTCTGGGTGGGTGAGGATGCCCAGTGGGGTGGACTGAGCCCCAAGACAAAGCCACAGGCAGATGCTTTTTCTTTCCCAGCCTCTGCTGCCACTGGGCCAGACTCCCCATCCCCTGTGCCTTTGCCCCCAGGAAAACCAGCCCTGCCTGGGGCAGATGGGACCCCCTTTGGCTGTCCGTAAGTTGGGGTATTTGAGACACTACGGTGGTGGCCCAGGGTGTGTAACAACCGGAGGAGCATCACAGCTAATTGCTTCTCTCTGTTCCAATACAGTTCTGGGCGCAAAGAGAAGCCCGCTGACCCTGTGGAGTGGACGGTGATGGATGTGGTAGAGTATTTCACGGAGGCCGGCTTCCCGGAGCAGGCAACAGCTTTCCAGGAGCAGGTGAGTTCCCCACCCTGGACTTTCTCCATTCTGGGACCTCAGTGGTGTCTGTTCTGACCCTGCTCTCTCTCTGTCTCACCCAGGAAATCGATGGCAAGTCTCTCCTGCTCATGCAGCGGACAGATGTGCTGACCGGCCTGTCCATTCGTCTTGGCCCAGCCCTGAAAATCTATGAGCACCACATCAAGGTGCTCCAACAAGGCCACTTTGAAGATGATGACCCTGATGGCTTTCTAGGCTGAGCACCCAGCCTTCCCACTACCCTGACCCCTTCCTGCCCCATCTAACCCAAGACCCCCAGAGTCTAAGAACTGGACTGGGGACACTCTCAACCCTTATAACAGATTTCAACGAGGGGGCACCCCTCCCTACTCATCTCTTCCCTGTGTCTCCCCAACACAATCTGACCCCCAGCACATCCCAAACTCCATGATGGAGGAGTTGGGGGAGGGGGACAGGGCCTGCTCATTTTACCCCAGGAGGCCAACCATCCCCCAAGCCTAGGACATTTTTAAAAATAAAAATGGGGCCTTCCCATCTCCCTAGATCTTCAGTTCAGCCAGGTATTTCCTATATAAATGTTTTGTTCTGCCTGTTCATTTTGGTGGGTGGCCTTTCTTCCCTCCCCCACCAACCTGTCCCCTCCTTAGTCTGCCCCAGCCTCCAAACCCTGGGAGCAACTGAGTTGGGGTTCCTGGGTCTTCCCTACTCTTCCCCTTTCTTTCTATTGGTTGTCGCTCTAGCTGGCTGTATTGCTTTTTAATATTGCACCGGATGTTTTTTAAATAAAGTTAAAAAAAAAAAAAAAGCCAGGAGTCCCATTTTATGAATGGAGTGGGAGAGGGGCATTGAAGAGCCACACCACTCTCCAGGGAGTCAGGTTAGGACAGAATTGTTCTTGGAGGAAGACAGTGAATGGGGCTACCTCACAGCTGGCTGTAATAGTGACTGCTCCAGAAGGGTGGGAATATTTGCTTATTTCTGTCATCTCATGACCAGAACAGTGCCTAGGTACATAGCAGGCGCACAAATCTTTGTTGAATGACTATTAGTTAACTCTATTTTACAGCATTTTCTCAGTTTTCTCCTAAGCCCCATGAGGGGGAGAGCGTATAAAAACCCACTTCACAGCCAATGCAACTGGCTCAGCACTTTACCAAGATTCTTTAAGAATAATTAATGTATGTTTCATAGATATATCTGACAGGCTTTGCATTCTACAAAGAACTGTTGGGAGCTGGGGTCTGTTCTAGTCCCATAGCAGGATCTCCAAGCCCCATGGTCCTCTGTAAAAGGAACAAGGGATTGAGACATCAAATAAGATCATAGGTTGGGAAAATTTTTCCAAATTAAGAATTTTATTGTTATTAGTAGTAACGGCTACTACATTACAAGTCCCTCTTAAGTTCTAACACAGTTTCTCAACTATTTTTAAAATTCAGATTTCGGGGGCCAAAGAATCAGACTGCAGGTGAGGGGTGGGCGTCTATGTTCATATTCCTGCCGCCCAGGGTTTGGACGCGCGATTTGACCCCCTCCCTAGGAAACCGCCTCGAAGAGAGAAAGGCGCTGGCCCCTGGACCGCACCCCCAGGAAAGACATGGCCGCGCCAGTGCCGGCCCAG